ATCTCCAGAGCTCCCTTCCAACCCTGAACATCCTGTGATTCTGTGATAGCCTTGTGTAAAGGTTTCCCCCCGCCCCGGCTTTTAAAGCCTCTCTAGGCATAGTCTTGCCCAGCAGGGCCCAGAACCTGCATTTGAGCTGATCAGAGGCTGTATGACAGAGCACCAGGGCGTTACTGGGCTTCCTCCCTTTGCTTTACTGGTTGAAAAGTTGATCATAGAATCCTAGACTGGCCTAGGCTGGAAGAGACCTCAGAGATCATTTAATCCAACCTCCCTGTCATGGGCAGGGACGCCTCTCAACTAGATCAGGCAGCGCATGGGGACCGAACTGGGATGGAACCCGTGACCTTGGTTTTATCAGCACCACTCTCCAACCGACTGAGCTGACCGGCCCCCTGTGATACAGAAAGCACCACGCAGGCACCCCGTGGGAGGAGGCGACGGGTTGTAAACTGGGGACTTTGCTTCCTGCAAATCAGTTGAAATCAACAGGTGGGGTTAAGGAACTGATAAGCAGCTGCTCATCCAAAACTTTATTCTCCTTCTCTTTCTCCTTGTTCCCAGAACAGCTTTCCAGCCTGACACCTAAAGACTGTCCCCATCTCCTCCTGCAAGCTATATCGGGGCCGCTTGCGGCTGGGGGCCGCTTGCGGCTGCGACAGCTTCCACGCTCACCAACCCCATGGATGTCATCAGGGCTCGGGTTCAGGTAAGAGCTCGGCCTGCTCAGCACGTCTGGCTGCCACGACGCAGGGGTGGGGTTCGGTCTCGGCTCTTTGATCTCGGCGGCTTCAGGTGAGCTGCTCCCCTTCTCTCTGTCCGTCGGTTGTTTCGTCTTAGATATATCGCGCCGCTTAATTGGCCCTCGGCGTTAATCGGAGGCGGCTCGGGAAGCAGGGCTGGCTTTGCCTACCCGGCCTGGGCCTGCTCAGAGTGGTTCCCCAGCAGATGTGGCTTTCCTCAGAACAGGACACGTGCTTCTAGCACTGTCGGTTTTAGTGAGTTGTCATGTTGATCCATCTAGAAGATGGGGGCAGAGGGGAGAAAGGAGGAGACAGGTCTAAGAATCCACTTTCTGCTGCCCCTTTAGCACTTGTGGAGACTACATCAAGGGTGTTGGACTGGCTGATCTGTAGGCTCTAGGGCCTTTGGCTGGAGCAGAAGCCCAGAGCGGCTCAGCGGGCAGTCTGGCAGCTCTCTGAATATTTGTTCTGCCTTTGCAGGTGGAAGGCAAGAGCTCCATCATCCTCACTTTCAAACAGCTGATGGCAGAGGAAGGACCCTGGGGCCTGACGAAAGGCCTCTCCGCCCGCATCATCTCGGCCACTCCCTCCACCATCGTCATCGTGGTGGGGTATGAAACCCTGAAGAAGCTGAGCCTCCGCCCGGAGCTGGTGGATTCCAGACACTGGTAGAGGCAGCTCGTGGAAGAGAAACTTCCCTTCGAACCTTCGGAATTTGGACCTTCACGGTTGAAAACTCGGGAGGAGAGGCAGCTGCCGTCTCCCCTGTCTCTAGGCGGTTTCACAGGACAAGGCAGAAGCAAGAGCAACTGCAACTCACCTCGTTAGATTTGGTTGTAATATAATGCTCTGCTGCTGTTTTTGCTTAAAACCATCCAAACGTGACTTTCGGCAACGCTGTTTGCCTGGGACGGCTGGTTCAAGAGCAGTCAGGTGTGCGAACGCATCTTGGCGAACTCGGAATTCCTTTATTTTTTAAATTAAAGACTTACTGGCTGAAGCAAAAAAAAAAAAAAAAAAAAAAGCCAGTTTATTCTTTAAATTAATTTAATCTTTGCCAAACTTCTGAGGAGGGGAATCTGACAGGCTGCAGCAGAGCCCTCTGGTGGGTCGGGTGCTGGTTGCAGTTGTCCTGTGGGAAGCTGGAAGAACAGAACAGACAAATTGCTCCCATCACCCACGTGTATTTCTAGAACATGTGAGACGACAGTAACCTGGAGCCACTTAAGACCTTATTTACTGCGGTTTGACTAGATCTGTACATACCTTTTTTTTTTTTTTTGTATGTTCCTGGAAATGTTTCCTATCTCTCATCCTTCAAACAGCAAGCTGGCCGACAGGCGAAGTAGGAATTAGCTGTTTGTGATTAGCTGATGGCGATTTTTGACACTTAACCTGTGTTTTTAATCCGTTGTTATTTAATTTTATTTTTTTTTAATTATTTTAGGGAAGCTTATTCTGATTTCTGGGGGAACTGAGTGGTTGTTCTGTGGCCTTGTTCAATGTGTCAATACTGCATGTTCAGGGTGGCTGCTGCCACTTTCCCACCTTTAGTTTAAGCACAAACGAGTTTGGAAGTGTCGGATCGCTGTGCTGCCAGCAGCCCTGGGGAGAGCTGAACACGATTTGAGCTACAGCTGGATGTGAGGTGGGGGAAAAATTAATTAAAAACAGCTTGTATTGGCTTTTGGTCCAGTTGGAACCTGACTGGCACGTTCATATTGAATAGGAAGTAATGGTTCGCTGACACTTTGTGAGTTTAAATCCTGCTTATCCTGTTGGAAAGGCAAGAAGGAGTCTTTGCACGCTCTTGCTGGATCAAAACTGTCAGCTCCGGGTCTGTGTTTCTTATCAGATGCAAACTTGCAATCGGGTGATGAAGCAAGAGGCTGCTCGTTGGGGAGGAGGAACGAAGGGACTGTTTGATTTCGCTCCGCTGGTCTCGGTGTTTGAGATTCGCCTCTCGCGATGCTCAGCCCAGTTAGTTTTAGTTTTATGTCGGAGAGGTGAGTAGCAGATGGATTGTCACCTCCCTTCATCTCGCTGCCAGTAAGGAGGAATTCTTGTTGGAGTACTCTTTAATGAGGCTTTTCATCCCACCTTTGTTTTCTGCACCATCAGGTGAGGTGATGGATGCCTGAGCCACCGCCAGAGCTGCCCGAGCGAGCGGCGTGTTCTGGGTTTTGGTGTTTAAAAAGAACGTGTGGAACGGCTCCAGCGCCTTCCACTCTAGAA